AGTTAAAGTAGTACTAGAATTTAATATGCTGCTATCCAGAATATATAACTACAATATGAGTTTATAATATTTCGGGTGTTCATTTTGATATGTTCAGATGAATTATGTTAAAAAAACTGCTTTGAAGTGGCACCTTTTCACTTCTGCATAGAAACGCTAGGGGGCGCCAAAATGGCGGCGATGACGTAGGAGAAGGACCTCTCACAGCAGCAGCAGCAGTCTGGGCTGAATCTGAACAAGGTATAAACATATTTACATCCGTTTTGTACATAATAGTGTGCAACTCTTTTAACTAACTCTAACTCTAACTCTACTTGATATCATAAAACATGCTAACAAGGCTAATATTCGTTTTTACATTATGCCAGTCTCACTTTGGTTGCCTTAGATTTATTTACCACAATGTACATTGTAATATCCATAAATGCTATCAAAATAACTTGAATTAAATAAATATTTTACTTTTATGAACAAAAAGCTGCAGAAGTTGAAAACATAGACTACATGTGATGCAATCATTGATAAAAATGCTAATTAAACCGTTAATAGGTGTTAGCATTTATGGATATTACGATGTACATTGTGGTAAATAAATCTAAGGCAACCAAAGTGAGACTGGCATAATGTAAAAACGAATATTAGCCTTGTTAGCATGTTTTATGATATCAAGTAGAGTTAGCTAACTTGCCCAACACTAACTAGCTTGAATCTCACAAATAAGGCTAAAAGGTTAAAAGAGTTGCACACTATTATGTACAAAACGGATGAAAATATGTTTATACCTTGTTCAGATGACAGTGAAACCTCCTACAGATACAGCCCAGACTGCTGCTGCTGCTGTGAGAGGTCCTTCTCCTACGTCATCGCCGCCATTTTGCCCCCCCCCAGCGTTTGTGAAAAGGTCCGACTTCAAAGCAGTTTTTTTAACATAATTCATCTGAACATATCAAAATGAACACCCGAAATATTATAAACACATATTGTAGTTATATATTCTGGATAGCAGCATATTAAATTCTAGTACTACTTTAAGGAGAGAGAGCTTGAGTTTCTATCTGTCTTTGAGGAAAGTACTGTTCTTCTGCTGTTTCATGTCACATTTTGAGAACTCTCGGTCCATAAAACCCATTAAAACTATTTACATGTATTATTATTATTATTGTTATTATTATTACCATTGTAATGGTACAGATGTCAAACACCAGGCCCAGGTTCATCAGAACAAACAAACAAAAGAACTGAGAGTAGATTTGGTTACATTCATTCTGCAGTGAGCCCGTCTTTGGGGAAGTCATGTGACCTGCACAACGGCCAATCAGATGAGAGCACTGTCAGAGTACACAACACACAGTTCTGAAACACACACAGAACAGAAGCAGCACAAGTGTAACTACGGTACGTCCAGAGGTGATCGTGAGCAGTGAACCAAACCAGACCAGAACATTCCCTGCGGTTCCTGTTCTGTAAAAATTGTAATTTCCCTGGATCGTTAAAGTGAGACACAGAAACAGTGAGTCCGACTTGAATGATTTAGTCTGGACTGAAAGAAAGTGTCGAGAAGAAGTCGAGAGGCTTTTTCCAAGAGAGGATGGAATTAAAACTTGAATCATCTTCATTAAAGAAGCAATATGTAAGGTTTTCATGTCAAGTCTTCATTAAAGGGCCCTAATCTGTCAAAGGCATTCAAACCTGCTCTTTTCCAATACTTCTTTAACTGATAACAATAGTTCAGAGATATTTGGATTTCAAAATAACTTTTACAGACCCTAAATCTTGTTATTGTTTTCATTTCGATGTCCCGCCCTCCACCGTTTCACCAATCAGAAAGTCTGTGATCCAGGTTGCCAGAACTCACCGTGTCGAGCTAATCTCACTGGTAAAGTACATAGACTGTATATATTAACGGACAGAGTCATGCCTATCTCCGCCGTTCTAACTAATGGGCCAAAAATTGTGCTCTACTGGAGCTATCCAAAATGGCCGCGAGTGGTCCCGCCCACAAGAAAATTGTGAAAAAACGCATCGTGCAGCTCCATTCATTTGAACGAGAGACTTCAAAAATTCACAGCGACTAAACTAGACTGGTCCAAAACACCCCCCTCAGCATTGACACACATGTGGAACGGAGCTTTGGGCCAAGAGCCAACTTTTGGTCCATCCTGTAAAGACGTTTTAAGAGGTAAGGAGATGCTATATGTTAGCATTGGCTCATTCTTATTCCGTGTCCACCCCCATTGGCCCGGGGTGGTATTGCAGCATGTCAGCGCACGTCATTTTGGACATTGTGAGCCGGGACCCGCCCCCACTGGTAAAGTACCATGTGGCGCAAAACTAAAAAAGGTCTCGTTATGATTCTCAAATCTTTAACGACAAAACAAGGAATAAAACCAGGATTTCTATCTTTGTGGTCCCAGCTGGATTCGTCTGCATATCTGGCAACCGGAGTCAGGGACAGTGGGAGAGGCTGCAGTACCACTTCAGGCCAGATTTGTACATATTGCTCCTTTAAATTCGGTTTTCAGCTTTTTTGGTGTTTTATCAAATGGAAAATGTCTTTTTTACATACATTTCAAGAGATCTGAGATAAGAATACAGTGGTGTGTGACAAAAACATCAAGTTAACAATAATAATAATAATAATGTACACTTTATGTTTAGATTCCTCCAGCCGTACTCCTGACCATGTGTTTGTTCATAAGGCAGTGTTTTCCTGTGTGTGAGATAGGACCATGTGGGGTGTGTGAGATAGGACCATGTGGGGTGTGTGAGATAGGACCATGTGGGGTGTGTGAGATAGGACCATGTGGGGTGTGTGAGATAGGACCATGTGGGGTGTGTGAGATAGGACCATGTGGGGTGTGTGAGATAGGACCATGTGGGTTAAGGCCTGCGTTTGCTTTGGACACATTCATGTTTGCAGTCGCCTGGGCTGGTTTCTAATAATCCATCTCACTGTAGTATCAATACACCGCTCTCTTCTCCAATAAACCTCCTTTAACATGTTTATTTTGTGCCTCAAATCAAAGGTTGGACTGTTGGACTCCCCTGGTCCTGGATCAGAACTCGCTGATCTCCCTGGAGATAATAGAGGACATATTTTCAGATATAAATATTATCTTATAGGCCCAAAAATGCAGTACTGCGGTGCGTCCACCAGGGCTTCTGCATTAACAAATAGTGCTAGCATGTCCTAGCTTGGTCCTGATCTACTCGGCTCTACTCTACTCGGTTGTGTTTCCTTTATGTTTTAGGATCTGGTGCCGTATTCGGGCAACCCACACAGGTACACACTACATACACAGAGACACACACTCATACACAGAGACACACACACAGATTGGTGGAGTGGCAGCATGAGTCATTCGTCTGCTGCGTCTGAATTAGATCTGGGCCAAAGAGAAGAATGCGCTGCGTGGGTCAGAAGAGGCCGAAGCTGGACTCAGTTACCATAGCAACCCACCGTTTGCCTGCAGCTAGCATTTAGCCTACTGTGTTGTCAGTATTAAAGTTATATTTCACTCATCAAAAGTAAAATAAAAGTACAAAAATGTATAAACCTGGAGAAAAACCTGCATTGGTTTGAATAGAAGCAGTCAAAATGGCTGCTCTGGGAGTCCTGGTGTCAATAGTATGCATCGTGTACGGATCACATGAAAACATTGAAAGTGAAAGTGAAAGTCCTCGCTAAGGGCTCACTTTGCCAAACAAAAATCACAGCTGGAGATTATACATTCAACTGGGAATCTGCAAAACCAAGTGGTTCTTTACAGAGCCAGCACTGGTAACCATAGCAACATGGTGTGTACCTGCTATCAGTTAGCATTAGCCTTTCAACAAACAGTTTTTTAAAATGTATTTCAAGTTTAATTCACCACTTTCAACCTTTGTTAAAAGTGAGTAAAAGTCAATTTGAATAAAACTGATGGTAAACTCTAACTTTTCATGACGCCAATGGATTGAACGGGAGCAGTCAAAATGACGGCTCTGGGAGTTCTAGTAGTTTCAGATTTCCTGTGTTCTGGTGTTCTTGCTCCTGTTGGGAGCAAAGCTATCTCTAAATTTAAATCAGGCGTTTTCCCATAATCCTTTAATCCCTGCCACTGTTCCACTCTGCGCTCGCAACAATTCTACTACAATTTGTCTGCTGTAGCCCCTCCCACTCCAGGAAGCACCGACCAATCAGAGCAGCCTTTCCTATCTCCCTCAATCCTGTTGTTTTACCCCTGTTGGAAGCTATGATAAGTCCTGTTTCCTCCTGCTCTACTCTACTCTACCCTACTCTACTCTACTCTACTCTACTCTACTCTACTCTACTCTACTCTACTCTACTCTACTCTACTCTACTCTACTCCACTCTACCCTGATTACGAGTGTTTCCTCTGGTCCTGTGTAACCAGTACCAAGTCTTTTGTTAGTCCCTCTAGGTCCTGGTTCTATCCAGGCCGAGCTGGTACTAAAGCTGGAGCGCTGCTGGAAGACATGGTCACCAAGGAATTTACCAGGTTTGTTGTGGGTAGGTTGCTAAAGCATAATGGAAACACAACCGGGTAGAGTAGAGTAGAGTAGAGTAGAGTAGAGTAGAGTAGAGTAGAGTAGAGTAGAGCAGAGCAGAATGGCAGCAGTGGGGTGGGACCGGTGCGACCTCCAGGGGGGGCTGTTGCTAGGAGACCAGGGCATCTGGGGAAGTGCGGTTGCCGTAGAAACCACAGCTGAAGAACCGGGCCCTCTCCCTCACTTCACATTCACACAACGTCCTCATATAAAACAAACTCACTCCGAGTTTTGGAAACATAATGTACCTTTTGGATCTTTTCCCGGACCAGTCCAGGACCGACCAATCTCAAATCCTTAACGGCACTCAAACCGTGGGCTTTTAATAATCACATTAACGTAAAACCGTAAAATCTCGGCAACCCTACGTAATACATGTATTTTTATTATTATTATTATTATGTATTAAACATCATGCAATGTCAAGTCTCTCCAGGCCTCGTGGAGTCATGAGGAGGAGGGGGCGGCGGCAGGCAGGACAAGCCAGAAGAACTGCCCATGGAGCCTCCGTACACCAGCGTACGTTGGTACCTACATTCAACACGTTCAGGGCCGACATTGCACAGCATCTTCCAAGAATCTACAGATCAGGAAGCGTCCGGGCTGGTCAGCGGACACGGCGCGCGCGGACTAGTTCAAGGTGAGGGTCAGAGGTCAGGGGACAAGGACACGGACAAAAATTAAAGGTTAGACTAGCCCAGTCCCAATACCACACCCTACACTCCACTACGGAGTGTGCATTTGTTTGAAGTGAGCACGCCAGGGTTGAGTGCGGCATGGTCTTACAAGACGTGCACAAAAACGGCGGAATTGTGGACAGCTGCAAAGTTACAGTCATCGACTAGTGAAGAGATGAGTCATTTCATACCCTAAACTTTAATATGAAAATTAAAGTTAACTTTGGTCCGACCCTGTGGGGACAAAGTTACCCGTTTGCTCACACACGTTAAAATAAGTGAACGAACTCGCACCCATCATTGGGAACGTGAAAATGAGGGCGCAGGGTGAACGCTGCGAGTATGGGGACAGGGACTTTAGTCCTGCTTTCCAATCTGCTTGGACCTGCTTTTAGAGCTACTTTAGTCTGCTTTAGACCCGCTTTTTTAGTTCTGCTTTAGTCCTGCTTTAGACCTGGCTTTTCTTTCAGTGTATTTCGCTTTAGTCCTGCTTTTTAGACCTGCTTATTTAGTTTTCCTTTAGTCTGCACGTTAGACACCTGCTTTTCATTAGTTTTCTGCTTTAGAACCTGCTTTTTAGTCCTGACTTTAGGTACCTCGCTTCTCTAGGTCCTGCTTTAGTCCTGCTGTAGCCCTGCTTTAGACTGCTTTCGATCTGCTGTAGGCCTGCTGTTACTCCTCTTTAGGACCACTATATTCTTGCTTTCGATCTGCTGTAGTCCTGCTGTACCCTGCTTTAAGACCAGCTATAGTCTTGCTTTCGATCTGGCCTGTAGTCCTGCTGAAGACCTGCATTCGCGCAATCTGCTGTAGACTCTGCTGTACTCGGGCTTTCCTGGTGAGATCGGGGGGGGGGTGGGGATGAGGGGTGGCGTACTGAGGACAGGTCGGGGGCTGTTTTTTGCTGCTAGGGTGGGTGTAGTGAGTGAGTATGGGGGGAGGGTTTGGGGGGGGGACGGGGGTGAAGGTGGTGGGCGGGGGGTAGAGGGGAAGGAGGGGGGGAGGGGATGTAGGGGGGGGGGGGGGGGTGCAGGGGGGTTAGCGGGGGTAGGTAGGGGGGGAGAGGGGGGGGGGGGGGGGGGGGGGGGGGGGGGGGGGGGGGGGGGGGGGAGGGAGTGGGGTTGGGGAGGGGATGTTTTAGGGGGGGGGGAGGCGGGGGGGGGGTGGGTAGGGGGGACAGGTAGAAGCTACCGGTCACAGGAGGTGCTTGCAGATCTCCTTCTTACAGTTGCTCGTGAGCGGCCGCTGAGGGTGGGGGGACATCGCAGAGCGGGCTCGACAAGAACGACCATGAGGAGCGGGAACTTTGGCTTCAAGAACACAGCCGAGGAGGAGGTGAGAGAGGGGAGGAGGTAGAGAGGCGGAAGTAAGAAGGATGTAGAAACAGGTGAGCGAGGAGGAGGGTTATAGTTCAAACTTCTCTTCAACTTGTTTTCATATTTGGCATTAATATTTTTAAACTTTATGAACAGCTCTGATTGGGGTCTGCTCTCTGCTCTCTGATTGTGCCGTTTTATTTATTACACATTTGCTTCTCATGCTTCCATGTGTTTAATCCAACAACAATATCTTTTCTCCTCTCTGGTCCTCGCTCTCGGTCTCGCTCTCTTGTCTCTCTCTCTGGTATCTCTCTCTGTGTATCTCTCTCCTGGTATCTCTCTCTGGGATCTCTCTCTGGTATCTCTCCTGTATCTCTCTCTGGTATCTCTCTCTGGTATCTCTCTCTGGTATCTAATCTCTGGTATCTCTCTCTGGTATTCTCTCTCTGGTGATCTCTCTCTGGTTTAACTCTCTCCTGTATCTCATCTCCTGGTATTTCTCTCTGGTATCTCTCTCTGGCCTCTCTCTCTGGTTCTCTCTCTCTGGTCTCTCTCTCTGGTCTCTCTCTCTGGTCTCTCTCTCCGGTCTCCTGATTAGTTTCTCATGTCCAGCTTTGGGAGTTGGTTCTTCAGCCGCGGCCGGTGGTGGGCGGGGCCTTTAGGGACGAGGAGCGGGCGCTTATTTTGAGAGGAATGCAGCGATTGGCAGGACGAGGTAGGTCTCGTGCCAAGCAGAGGGCAGCGTTCCTGACTGTGCTGGCCAATGGTGTGAAGGTTCTGACCATGTGGGGGCGCCCAAAGACGGAGGGTGGCGTCAGCGACCATATGAATTCGGCCTCATACAGTTTACATTAAAGCTGGGTACTTTTTTAACATGTATTATTGAAATGAGACAAAAGTTACAGACCCATCTTTTAAACATGTTCATATGAACTAAAGTACAGACCCAGGCTTTAATTACATGTTTGTTATTTATGAGACAAAGTATTGACCCCAGCATTAAAACATTATTTTAACCGCTTTAATTCAGGTTTCCGTGGAGATGACGACATAATGGGGGGGAGGGGAGGGACGAGGCGCTCTGCAGCGACAGGAGGGGGGAGGAGGGAGCCGTGGGTCGCTTCAGTGAAGGCCCCCCCCACTCGGGAGCACCGCCGCAAAGACTTCCGGGAAACTCTGAAGGTAAGAGCTGACCTAGAGGCTCACATTAGAGCTGACCTATAGAGCTGTGTAGACTCACATAGTTCTGATCTGACGGTGTCTCCTGTCACCCCTACTGTTACTGCCCTCCCTATGCTCTCCTCCTCTACACCCCCCCCCCTCTCCTGCGCAGAAGGAGAGAGCACAGAGGCCCCGCCTTCAGCTGAAGCCACGTACAGTAGCTGGTCCCTCTAACCAGGTGGCCAAACCCTAACTCAGCCATCCTTGGAGGAGCAAACCCGAGAGGAGCGTGATCACCAAGGAAAAACCATATGAGACCTGAGACCTCCACCCACATGGGCGGAGAGGAGGGCGAGGGCCCCTGCAGCGGTGATGTCAACTCACCTCGATCGACACCATTTTTCCTGGACTTACACTTTTGAATTCATCCATCTGTCATTTTTATTTTGGGATGTGGAATAAACGACGTAACACACTGTGTGTCAAATCGCGGTGTGTGTTGCTTTTGTGGGCGTCTTATAATTGTGTGCGTATCCAGAATCATTTTTATGCCAATAAGGTCGTAAGTAACACGAGGTCACAGACATCACCCAGTGGAAATTGCTTTGGCTCAGTGCAACAGTCAAACTAAGAGATAATAAAAATAAGAATAAAAAACACTTCTAAAGAATAAATTTAAATTTAAAATAGAGTTACAGTTACTATTTACAATATACAAGTTACTATTTACAATATACAAGTGCACATGGTGCACACAATGTAAGGTGACAGCAAGTACAGTGAAGTAAAGTGACGTAAGATGGGCAGTAAAGTGACTTAAAAGGGCGGGGGACAGGTTAAGACGTGTTCAAGAGTACCGGCAACACAGAGGGGAAGAAACTGTTCTTGTGGCCGGGAGGTTCTAGTCCCTGATGGACCGCAGCCCTCCTGCCTGAGGGGAGTGGTTGGAATAGTCCCCATGTGCAGGGTGAGAGGGGTCGGCTAGTGATACGACCAGACCCGGCCTCGAGCTCGGCGACGTCCAGGTCCCTGCAGCGATGGCAAGGGCTGCGGCCGATCCACTTCCCTCTGCAGAGGCGCACAATGCGCTGTAGTCGCTGTTTGTCCCTGACTGTGGCTCCAGCGAACCATCACGGTGACGGTGGAGGTGGGATGACTCGATGATGGCCGTGTAGAACTGCACCAACATCGGTGCAGGGCAGCTTGGCTGTTCCTGAGCTGCCGGCAGGAAGTACATCCTCTAGCTGGGCCATTCTTGATCTAGGGAGCACGATGGTCGGCTCCCACTTGAGGTCCTGGGTGATGTGGTGCCCAGGAAACGGAAGGACTCCACAGAGGTGATGGGGAGTCCATCACGGAGGGTGGGGGCGGGGGGACAGTGCTCTTCCTGAAGTCCACAATCATCTCCACTGTCTTCTGGGCGTTCAGCTCCAGGTTTGTTACCACTGCACCAGGAACACCAGCCGGTTCCACCTCCCTCCTGTAGGCGACTCATCGTTGTTGGAGATGATTCCAATGAGGGTGGTGTCGTCCGCGAACTTGATCACTTCACGGAGTCGTGGCTGGAGGTGCAGTGGTTGGTGTACAGGGAGAAGAGCAGGGGAGAAAGAACACAGCCCTGTGGGGCTCCTGTATTTATAATCCGAGAGTCCGAGACATTCTTCCCAGACGCACTCGCTGCTTCCTGTCCGTCAGGAAGTCAGTGATCCACCTGCAGGTGGAATCGGGCACGTTGAGCTGGGAGAGCTTGTCCTGGAGCAGGATGGCAGGATTGTGTTGAAGGCAGAGCTGAAGTCCACGAACAGGACCCTGGCGTAGGTCCCCGGGGAGTCCAGTGCTGTAGGATGTGGTGGAGGGCCAGGTTAATGGCGTCGTCTACAGATCTGTTGGCTCTGTAGGCGAACTGCAGGGGTCCAGGAGGGGGGAGGTGAGGGACTTGAGATGGGAGAGAACCAGGCGTACAAATGACTTCATGACGACAGACGTAAGTGCTACAGGTCTGTAGTCATTGAGTCCTGTGATCCTGGGCTTCTTCGGGACGGGGACAATGATGGAGGATTTGAAGCAGGCCGGGACATGGCAGGACTGCAGAGAGGAGTTAAAATGTCCGTGAACACAGGAGTAAGCTCACTGGCGCAGTGTCTCAGAGTGGAGACACGTGGTCCGGGCCAATTTGCGGGGGTGCAGCCTCAGGAAGAGTTTGTTTAATCTCTTTAGCGCGATTGTTTATAGGCTGGGGGCAGGGCTGATGGGTGGGTCGTTAGAGTAGTGGGGGGTGGGGGAGGGAGAGGTGTCAGGGGGCAGCATCAAAGCGACTGAAAAATAAGTTCAGATCGTCAGTAGCTTGTCGGTCATCAGCACAGGGGGGGGCTTTGGGGCTCCCGTCAGACAGAAGCAGTTTTCCCATCACTAGTTTAATTTTGTCCGGTTGGCGACCAATGTTTCACCACCCTCTGTTCCGTAGGATGGGTCAGTAGGCTCACACTAGTAGCCTGTGGTACTGCACTAATAATAACTGCACTATATCTATATTCTGCTGTTTAACCCGGATTCCTTTAAAAACAACACTAATGCTCTCACATGTGCACTCCCTCCAGTACCCAAAACACTCTTTCAATTCAATTCCTTAACCTCCAGTTCCTTAGCCTCTGCTTCATTACCTCCCTGCACTCACTATATCCCCTGCAATGCAACAGCACATGCTCTACAGACTCCTGCTCTTCACATCCCTCACAGAGCCCTGTTTCATGCTTCCCAATAATACAATGTTTTGTTCAGCGCACAATGCCCCAATCTAAGCCTAGTCATGACAATGTCTTCCCTCCGATGGCCCCCCTGCCTTCTGCCATCGCTCACCTCTTTCTGTATGTGATAAAAGTGCCTTCCTGAGGTCCCTGTCTCCCAACGGTTTTGCAATTCCTGAGTTATCTGCTTCCACACCACACTTTTCGCTTCACTCTTGCTACTTTTCACACTCATCTCTACCCTAGTCTTATTCAGTGCACCCTTTGCCAGTCTGTCCACTATTTCATTACCTTGAATGCCATAATGTGCTGGTACCCACAGAAACTGCCCCCTGTTCCCCTGCTGATGAATTCAAGTAACTTTCATAAGAATTTCATACAAAATATCCTGTCGACCCTGTGATTGATCAGACTGAACACTAGAAAGCACAGACGCTGAATCAGAACATATTAAAACCCTGCTCCCCACTTTAACGCCACTAATCTAGCAACCATCTCCACTGTGTAAACACTTTGATGTACTGTTTGTCTTTTAATTACCAATTCCTTTTCCTGGCACAGCTGCTCCGAATCCTGTAACCCCAGATTCTGGACTCTTTGACCCATCCGTAAAGATATGAATGTGACTTAAGTAGAGTTGAGATACGTGACAATCAAAAGCTGCAACCAGATCAACCCTCCCTTTTTCCTTCTTCTTCAAGTCCAGCAGGCACCAATCTACTCCTGGGCACGCCAACTTCCACGGGGGTATTTTAGGGAACACTAAAGCAGAACTAATCTGAAGATCATAAACACCATAATTCTGAGCCAACTGGTCCCCAACTTTCCCAAAATGATCTCTCTGGGGCTTACCATACTCCCAGTAATCCCGTCAGTGTCTGTTTTGTGGGATGGAACTCCCCATGGCTTCGTAGATGAATCCAGTAGTTCATCATTATCTGCTTCCTTCTCAGATCTAACGGTATCTCCCCCATCTCTACCTGCAATGCATTCACCGGAGATGTCTTAAAGGCTCCACAGCACGGGCCTGTATCACATCCAGCTTCTTCAATACAGACGGGGTTGCTGATCCGTACACCACACACCCATAATCAAACACTGACTTTATCAAGGCCTGATAGAGGCGTTTCAGTGCGGAGCAGCTGGCTCCCCAGTCTCTCTCTGCCAAACACCTCATAACATTTACAACCTTATTAGACTTCATTCATTTTCAACCCCTTTTTTAGCCCGATTCTGGGTCGGGGGTGGCAATCACCAGTCCCTCGCTGATCCTCTGCAGGTGGTGGGTCCACGGGAAGATGGCTGCTCCGTCAGCGGTGACACAGCCTTGGTCTTTCGGTTGCGTCACTCGGTCTCTCTGTGACAACCTTATTAGACTCCTCCTCAATCCTTAATATGCTCCTTCCATGTTAAACGAGAGTCCAGTACAACCGCTATAATAAATGTAGACGCTGCCGCTTTGCCCACTCATCTATGCGCCTTGCCGCGCGCTGTGCTCTCTACTGGTGCTGTCTGCTCTCTGCTGGTGCTGGTCTGCTCTCTGCTGGTGCTGTCTGCTCTCTGCTGGTGCTGTCTGCTCTCTACTGGTGCTGTCTACTGGTGCTGTCTGCTCTCTGCTGGTGCTGTAGTCTGCTCTCTGCTGGGGCTGTCTGCTCTCTGCTGGTGCTGTCTGCTCTCTGCTGGTGCTGTCTGCTCTCTGCTGGTGCTGTCTGCTCTCTACTGGTGCTCTCTACTGGTGCTGCCTGCTCTCTGCTGGTGCTGTAGTCTGCTCTCTGCTGGGGCTGTCTGCTCTCTGCTGGTGCTGTAGTCTGCTCTCTACTGGTGCTGTCTGCTCTCTACTGGTGCTGTAGTCTGCTCTCTACTGGTGCTGTCTGCTCTCTGCTGGTGCTGTCTGCTCTCTGCTGGTGCTGTAGTCTGCTCTCTACTGGTGCTGTCTGCTCTCTACTGGTGCTGTAGTCTGCTCTCTACTGGTGCTGTAGTCTGCTCTCTACTGGTGCTGTCTGCTCTCTGCTGGTGCTGTAGTCTGCTCTCTACTGGTGCTGTAGTCTGCTCTCTACTGGTGCTGTCTGCTCTCTGCTGGTGCTGTAGTCTGCTCTCTGCTGGGGCTGCCTGCTCTCTGCTGGGGCTGCCCGCTCTCTGCTGGGGCTGTCTGCTCTCTACTGGTGCTGTCTGCTCTCTGCTGGTGCTGTCTGCTCTCTACTGGTGCTGTCTGCTCTCTGCTGGTGCTGTAGTCTGCTCTCTGCTGGGGCTGCCTGCTCTCTGCTGGGGCTGCCCGCTCTCTGCTGGGGCTGTCTGCTCTCTGCTGGGGCTGCCTGCTCTCTGCTGGGGCTGTCTGCTCTCTGCTGGGGCTGCCTGCTCTCTGCTGGTGCTGTCTGCTCTCTGCTGGGGCTGCCCGCTCTCTGCTGGGGCTGCCTGCTCTCTGCTGGGGCTGTCTGCTCTCTGCTGGGGCTGTCTGCTCTCTGCTGGGGCTGCCTGCTCTCTGCTGGGGCTGTCTGCTCTCTGCTGGGGC